TGGTCTTTGATATGCTATTCTATAAACATATACTTGTTTGTGTTGCTATAATTCAAGAAATTCACTCTTAAATATAGATATATTTTACGAAAACACTTTATGCTCAGTTTTTTTTAACGTTTTTGCGGATAAATCAAATTTATATTTGAACATATTCCAACACTTTCTCCACAGAACGGAACAAATTTTAATTTTGTGGTCCTTTCACTCAGATGCAACACATTTAATACACAGAAAATCAGATACCTAAATGGGTTTATTTACTTATAGGTAAAACAACATTTACTAAACTAAGATGTTTGCTCCTAAATCTAGATTGAGAGCTTTCCCCCCTTGTTCAAAAGCACATTTGTAAAAGGATCACTTTGATACCATGACACACTCCTCCCTGAAAGAAAAGAAACCTCCTCAGGCTTTAAAAGTGACACAATTTCTGAACAAACTTCTGAAAGACACGGCTCGCAGCAAGTCTTTTACTTCTTGGATTCTTTGCAGTGTTCTGAATAGCCAATTGAAAATCGGGCGTTCTGTAATTTTCGGCTTATCATATTTCCATGCCGATGTACCGTATTTGACTGCCAAAACTGCTCATTAAAGCAGATGAGTATTTTAAATATGTGATGCAATTCAAAGCAACCCTTAGCAGATATGTCCATGCCAGAATCAGCTTCTGTGCTGGTAGAGAGCGCCCTCTTCTGGAATGCAGGGAAAATATTTAGTTTATGCAATAAAAAGAAAAATAGACAAACAATTTTTTTTTATTTGGTTTATTGACATGTGTATAGGGATTGTCTGTGCACCGGACTATTACAGAAGAACATGATATAAAATAATACAAAATAGCTGTACATAAGATATATTCAAAGGAATGCATTGTTATTTGTGAGGTTTTCTGCTGTATTAGACATGTCAGCTACTCACTCGCCTACAATAAGGAGAGCTTAAGAAGTTGAGGATGCTGAGGTTTTGCCATCTGGAACAAGGATCAATTGATAAACATAAAATAAAAAAAAACTACATTTGTGAAGAGCTTATGATATCACTGGTGGTATTGAATAAATTAGTGCTGTGCTAAAATACTGTGCGTGAAGTTTGCACGGTAGCTAAGGTCTAAAAGAGAGCAAAGAAAACAACGCATGGACATCTATGAAACTAGAAAAGTAAAAAAGTGAATATAACAAGTGAAAAGAGAGGGAAAGAAAAAGTAAAATGAGGGTGCTGCAACAGTTCATCCATCCACATGCCAATGCTGTTACAGGGGTAGGTATAAGAGCACAATTCATTTAGGTTGACACAATCATGGAAGGTAACTAATAGTTGGCCCTGCCTGTTGGAGCTGGTTTCTTTTCTCTATTTCTATAGAAGCCTCCTCCCCACCTATTGGCACAGTGATTGGTACAGATTGAAGGAATCCTTAAAAACAATCAGTTCTCAATACTGAATAGTTTTGAAAACAAGAAAACCTTGAATTAATCTGCCAAAAATGCCACTGAAAGAAATATTACATTTTTCAGCATTGCAGAATAACCAAAACAAAACAAAGAATTTCTTTAAAAAGCGGTTACTGAAGCAGTGTTGTCATTTACACTTTAATGGTTGCGCAGTTTTTAGGAATCTTTATTTACTAATATATGACTTTAACAAGATAACACAAAGGATTGTTTCTCTAAACTCCAATTCCAAATGGTAAAGACAAACAGACATATTTAAATAAGGGAGCTGTGTTGATTTTTGAAACTCAGGGGACTGTTCAAAGAAAATATTTTTATCATCTAACCTTCCTGATATACACAATGTTATGTTTAAAATACCTGCAAGTGTGGAAAAAATGTGGACTCCAGATTAGCTCACCACCTAGCAAAAGAGGTAAAAACATGTCATTTCTTCAGATGCGTATCCATAGCAACCACTTTATTTTAGGATTTAGGCATGGCTTTACCAGATGTGCCAATAGTTAAGGAGGGCTCTATATAAAGATCCATGTATAGCAGATCTTTGGCGATCATGACCAGTATGGTGCAGTATGCTAAATGCTAATAGCTAATAACAATAATATGAGGTTCAGCCATATCATATCCATCAGAAGTGTCCAAACTTTTGCCACATAAGGCTAATATGTTCAAATTTAACATTCTAGGAACACACAAACTTGGACTCTTTTTGATTAAAGAGCGAAAATAAAAAAAAATATAAAAAAATTTCTTTAGATTTCATTTGTGTTTCATTGAATGAAAACAAAAACTTGCAACATTTGTTCTAATTCTTTATCATCTATAATCCTCAGCCAGAAAAGTAAAAAGGGTTAAAAAAAAGATTGTTGATTTTTTATAATTTTTTCAGTCCAAATAAATATTTGTGGTCTGCTTTAGGCTACAAGAATGGGATGCAGGTCAAGGGTGGAGATGCACTGATCCGATAACTGGATCCGAAATTGGCTCTGATACTGACTAAACAGCTGGATCAGATATCAGCGATTTGATATCAGGGATCCAATCCAGTGCACTTTAGATAGAACTGTTATTTCTTTTTTTGTTAGTGCATTTATATCTGTGTTGATTTGATACGTTTTTTAACACTGTTTATTTGAAGGTTAAAGCCTTTGTTCACATGGCAAGGTATATGGTTTATTCGTTTGACAGCTGAATCAGATTGTTATCGAATATTGGCTGATATGCCCAGGTATCGGATCGTTAGAAAAACTGGATCGGTGCATCTCTGGTCACGGGCTGCACAACATTGTTCCAAAGCTGGATGGGCCAGCAGGGAGCCCTCAGACACTCCTACATTAGATATGTTATAATTTAGTTAAGAGATACACGGTCCAACATAGGAATGTCATAGGAACTTCATTGAATAAACAACATGGGAAATATATTCTTTAAATCCACATTTATGTCAGCTTCTAGTCTGCTAGCCCAGTTTACTGCTGCATTAAATATGGGAGATTAGTTTTACATCTCCTCTCTAGATCACATCGCACCACTGGTCATGCTTTCCTTACCTTAACCAGCTCAAACATACAAGAGCTTTTCTCACTAAGGTTGCCCTGCTCGCTGTGAGTCTGAGATCACTAATCCTGAGCTACAAAACATCACTTATTCACCACACAATAAATCCTGTATCCAGGCCCCAAATGGAAAAAAGTCACATTCCAGAAACAGTACGCCTCTAAGTATTTACGAATGCATCTGACAGCTGAATGTAAACATAAGCCAAGTCGATCAACTTCCTGCAGATTATTGGAAAATATTAGCATAGTAGTATAAGAGGTGTCATTTACGAAGTTATATCAATTTTATGTTTTTTAGAGAGTTTTTTTTACATTTTTCCCCTCAAAACAACAGCACAAAACAAGAAAAGAAAAAGCGGTTCTAACTGAGGACTTGGAAGACACATTTACATGTGAAACACTCGCTCAGTGATGAGTAACGAGTTTGCAAACCGTCGTGCAAAGTTTCTGAATACACGTCCAATGCAGTGGTAATACTGTATGTGTATGTTCAGCACATGCAAGCTGGACACGGTTCCTGTGTATAAATGAGTTCTTCATGTCTTCCACACTTGAGGCTATTATTGAAATCATCACACCTTATCAAGCTACTTCACCAGGCTACACCATGATATTCAGTTACAAAAATAGTTTCACAATATAGACCATTCAGTATGAGCACCAGCGAAGGCTAAACATAGCCCGAGTATTTGGCTACATTCATTGTCTGGGCAATGTTGGATGGTAGCAGTGTGGAAGTGGACACAGTGTTGATAATGTCTTCTCATTCACGGGCTCTCCTAATCTACCACACAGTTATAGCTGGGCACAAAATGCTCACACTATATAGGAATAATCAACTCAACCCACTTCAAATAGAAAAATAGTAAGATTTAGATATTTTTTGACACTGAACATCTAAAAGAATTCCTCCCGCTTCCCCAAAATAAACCCCTCCCCCTTTTCTTAACAAAATAGTTTTTCTTTATGAGGTCACACAAGAACAAACCATACGGACCCTCCATCACACCAACGTGGACCCTGTTAGAAGGAGCTCAGTAACCTGAGGTGTGTTCAAAACAGAAGCAGTGGAGCATCAGCTGAGGGTCGCGTGTGTTGAATTCCTACACCTTATGGGGTGAACTGAACACACCTCTGATTACGATCAAACCCTGGAAACCTTTTTCCTCTTGCTTCTAGGACACCTGGCTAAATATGTAGCTTATCTATGCAAGTGCTATTATTGCTTTGGAGTGTTGTGAAGTGAAGTTAACCTAGTTTCCTCCTTTTTTTTATTTTGTCCCTGCCTTTGTTTATCCTCACTTTGTTCCATAATTAAAATAATTTTACAGTTACTTGCAAAAGTACTTAGAACCATTAAACTTTCCCACAACTTGGCAGGTTTAAACAAGAAGCTTCATTGTAGGTTATTGGGATTTAATGTGATAGATCAGCACTAAATGGTGCATGATTTATAAGTGGAAGATTAAAGCATGGGTGGTTGTCGAACATCTTTAAAAATGACATTATAAAGTGTGGCATGCATTCATATTTATGACATGATGTAAAACCAACATATTGTGGGGGAAATTGTTGTGTTTAACCAGAGCATCTTCTTTATTCTTAATAAACTGCTCTATTTTAATAATGGTTTTCACAGACAAGAGGAAATATATTACATGCAACATGTGCTCTACCTCCCTAATGCAGCCTTACAGTAATCATCAGTCTACAGAGTCTATTATCATTTACAGTCTATGACCCAGCAGTCTAGGGTTTAATTCCCAGCCTTTAGACCTTTAGTGTGTGTTTCGCTCTTTATTCTCTCTATGTAATCATAGGCAGTTAAGGCCACTAATGTAAAAAAAAAAGAAAAACATCTTCAAAACAAAACTTTTATTTTTGACATTCTTTTATAAAGGCCAGATTAGTGGCAGATTCTCTTATCTTAACTGTATTTATCAGTTAGATTACTTCTGTAGGCACTTGGCTGCACTGGAAAAAAAGGGAATACAAATGCACACCACACCTTTCAGATTTTAATTTGTTAAAAATCCAGTAATATATATATATATATATAGCATTCACACCCCAATTTTGCATTAATTTGTGTTGATCTTTCACAAAAAAATCTCACTTTGTAAACTGACTAAATGTGACAAAGTTCAGGGCGTGTGAATACCTTTGAAAGACGCTGTAAGTGACGCTCACTCTGGTGCTTCAGAGGTCACCAAGTGGTTTCATTTACAGGAGCCTCTATGCATAGATTGAACACTAAAAGGATCTGTGAGGATGAATGTTGCTTTGAAATGTATATTGATATTCTTGCTTCAGGCTAAAGCATGGCACTAAGATCAGTGTTGGATCAGTGAAAAACTGATGAAGATGCTAAATGTAATTTGGAGGCAGTTGAGTTAGAAACAAGGTGAAGCTGAGACCATTTCAGTTCAAAAGAAAGCATTTGACAGAATAAAGTTTTGAATGTGGCAACTTTTATAATATCTAAAGTTAACTCTGGCAAAGTGACAGTCAAGGCCATTCATTTTTATGTGCAAAAAAGCTCAGTGTGATGTCACACTCTGTCATCTGAGGAGGGTTAAAAGGAGGTTTGAACCTGATCAAGTGTGGAGTAATAGTAGAATGGGGATGAGTTACTCTATGATATTAAGAAAATGAATTTTTGAAGGTCAAGCAGCATCACCTAAAGCTCTGTTGTATTTAATATAACACTGTCTTTGATAGTTTAGACGGATTCCTAGCTTTTTTAGCACTGATTAGTCTGTCATGTCCTCTTGATCCTGAAGCTCTGAAGGATAAACGAGGAGACTGATTCTTCAGCTCTGAGCTACATTCTCTGACACAATGTTGGAGTGTAGTAGAATACTCAGAACACATATGCTTTGAAACCATTAAGCTCAAAATTGAACTATTCGTTGTTATTTATCAATGTTTAACACTTGAATGAAGCCCTAGTAGCTTCCTGCTTCTTGTTTACAGAGTAATGAATGAGCGGCTAGTCGATGGGACCCTGGAAGATGAGGCGTATCCAGCCGGGGGTACTGAGAGCAGCAGAGCAGAAGGGGCAGATTGGCCTGAATGCATGTGTCCCGTGGGGCAGAGGGGTCTCGGCCCAGTATTTGGCTGTCCTCTCTGAGCAGACGTGGCCGCATGGTACAAAAGCATGAGTGGGAGCTCCGGCGTCAACATACACCGCAGGCTCGGAGCCCAGCCACAGGGGGACATAGGGACCCACGCTTCTGCAGAGGGGACATTCCCTACGCACCGTGGAGCCCTCACCTTCTACTGGCTCCTCCTGTCTTTCAGACCTCTGGCCCCAGTCGTGGCGTCCGTGAACATGGCCGCAGGTGAGGTAGACCCAGGGCTGACGCTCTTCAAGGCTGCAGTAACACATACAACTCTTTGAGAAAGTCCTTGTTTCTAACAGTTGCAGAGTTACTAATTCTAAAGGTCTGAGCTCATTTATGGAGACTAAATAAATCTATTATTGGTTATAGAAGCAAAACCTCACATTAAACATTTCTGTGTTGATCTGTCCATTTTTAGCGTTATTATCACACTTAAACACTGCAATTTCAGTCATATTTTTTAAAAAATCTATTGGCATTTCAAAGAGCTCTTTGAACTCCAACAAGCTTCATGCAGTCTATGGGAGCCCTGAAGGGAGAAATATCTTCTAATATTTACAGAAATTAGATGTTTCCCATCCATTAATCCTTCAATTAAAGCAAAGTCAGCTGGGGTATTGTTGCAGCCAGTTGTTATTCACTGCTTACTTGAAACAATTGGGAATTTGTAAGACCAAACTACCACTTTTTATTGATATTCTGTCACATTCAGCTTACTAACTTTCCTTTAGGGCTGCAATCAATAATTATTGTAATATTCAGCTAAATAACTGACAATTTTTTCAATTATCCAGCTATGGCAATTATTTTTTATAATCCTGCTGTGGTTGTTTTCTTTAATGTATCGAAGCAGAGACACATTGAAACAATGCAGTACATCAAAAGGTGAGGAACTGGAATTAAAGAAACCTGCTCTAAAGTTCCTGGAAACTGGATGCATTGACTGTAGACAAGAAGACCCAGTGGACCAACATCGGTAGATGACATTTCACTGTTGAAATGTGGCACTAGACTTTAAGTAATGTGGATTCTCTGCCTCTCCATTTTACTCTCAAAACCAAAGATTGTGTTTATACACTTTTTGTTAGCGCAATTTTAAATTCCACTTAACATTTTATTGACATGCTTGAATACAGCACTCAGTTAAACGACAGTTTACCCTTGCTGTGCAGGGTGTTAATGACTGTCAAGGAGTTTAAAAATTATAATGATATATTTTTTTATTGATCTTAAGCTTTATGCATTTCACTTTCAAGATGTTCTGGGGTTTTTTTTTTAGATGTACCCGTATGTATCCTGAAGGGGTGGTTGGAGAAACAATAATTCTGTTGTAGGACACCTTTTTGAAAAATATGTTTTCTTAGCATGGGTCTGTTTTTCAGTCTAGTCAAATATTAGTTTGGATTTTTTTTAGTATAAAATTTGACTGCTCATATTTCACTGTCAGAGGTGTGTGTGGCATTAAATGAAGTGAATCCCCCCTCACCTGTGGCTGCGTGGCAGACTTGGGAAGGCCAACGTGCTGAGGCCTACAGGACACTGAGGACGGGAAGCATTCAGCTCCTGACGAAGGGCCTCCAGGTGACGCAGAGTGGGGGCGCGCATGAGGCCTTCACCTGTGCGCCACAGCAGAGTGGCACCACAGAGATCCACCAGAGAGCCATCACGCAGTGCGCTGCTCTCTCCCTCTGCCTACAGGTGAAACAGAGAGATAAGTTCAATCCTAACATGGCTGAGGTGTCAGAGCGCTGTTTAAATAGACTCACCAGTTTTCCCCGACTGGGCCCAGAGCGTGTTTCTCTCAGTGCATAAACATCTCCACACACTGATATCTCCCTCCAAAGACCCTGCTTGGGGTCCTCTGGGAAACCCTCTGGGTGCATCACCAACACCCCGTTGGTGGTGAGACCATCCATGTGGCCATCAGGATTTTTCCATTTGGTTGCTTTCTCCTAAAACAGGTCGGGGACCAAAGTCTTCCTTTAGCATGTCCTGAAGGAAAGGTTTTCTGTGCATCATCGTTACACTCACCCCTAGAAAGATATTTTTTGAGGAGTCAAAGCCTGCAGCGTAAATGCGGGCAGTGTAGGGTGGGTTACGCTCGCACACCACTCTGCAAGCAAAACGGGAGATGGTGCTGGGAGCGATGGAGGGGTCTTCTCCTTCCTTTCCCCCTCCAGAGGTGTCAGTCACCACAAAGTCGATGGGACTCTCTGTGGACCGTCCGATCTGCAGCAGCCAGTACAGAGACACCATTCACATGAGAAACAAACAAAGAACATCCATACAATCCAGACCTACACACCAATACAACTAATATCCCTCACAGTTGGTCAACAACTAATATATTCTTGCTTGGTTCTCTGAAGTTCAGATAAAATATTAAACATAATTATTTGTTTTATTATTCTAGAAAGAAAATAACAATGCAGTTAAGCATTTACAAAAAATGAGAGGAAAAGTCCACATCCTATAAAATAAACATACCTAAAATAGAATTCCTTTGAAAAGCAGCTGCTATTTTTATCACTGAATTGCACTCATATTACTTTGATGACATTAAACATCAGTGTATTAGAAGAGATGATCAAACAGGCATCAGGAGGAGGATGTTTCAGAAACTGTGACTCTGGCTTATAGATTTCCTTTTGTGTGTTTTACCTGGAACATGTCTGTACTGCTGTCATGGCAGTACTCCACCACCACAGTCTGGTTGCGAGACAGTGTGAAAGAAATGCTATGCTGCCCCCTGCTGTGAACCACCTGCAACATCAAAGCAGCATAAATACAGTCATTTATGTAGAATTTTTATTTAAACAGAAAAAGTAAGTATGTGGAAAAAAAAAACAAATAATCTTTGCCCATTTAATTTCAAACATTTAATTATCTGTGTCCATAAAGAAATCAGAAAAACGAATGCAGGAAGACATATGGGACGAAGCACAAACTCCCTTCCTCCTGAGCACACATCCTTCCTCTGACAGACGACCGAAGATCAACAGACGATCAAGGGCAGGAAACTTACAAGCTGTTTTAGTGTGCAAGCATGCATACCTTGCTGTCCTGTGGTGTGTTGAGGATGTGCACAGCACTGGGTTTCACACCGTTGGCCTTGGCCCTTCGGTAAAGAGCAAAGCGGCTCTTTCTGCGCCCACGGTCTCCACTTGGCAGAGAGCCATTGTGCCTGAACAGGCAAAAAGAAACAGATAACAGAAGGAAATCAGACTCTGGAGACAAATCACCAACTTTTTAGCAATCTAAGTCAGATACATGAGATTGTGAGCAAACAGCCGGACCAGATCGCTGAGCTCCACTATTCAATGATAACAATGTTTCACTTATAAAAGCAGCATTACTGCCTCTATTTTATGTGATCCCCCAGACTTTGAGCAGTAATGCATATCTTTGGAGGTATATCTTTTATTTTCTTGAAATTAAAGAAACAAGTCGAAAAGCTAATAACACTTGCAACAAGTCATTGAGATGATACAGTAAATCACCCCCCCTAAACAGTCTGAGGACAAATAAAAAAATAAATAAAAGCACTTTTTTTTTAAGTAAATGAATCTTCTTTATATATCAACCATTTTGATTGTTGCCATGGACTTCTCTGAAGTGGTTCCTTCAGTTTTTTAAGCTGTGTAAAACATAATTTTCACGGTTTGGGTTCAACCAGAAGGCAGTATGCTACTCTCCCTAATCAGCAGAATGTGGTTGTTGTGGAAACCACTTGGAGGAAACCCTGCAGACCAGAAGACTAGAAATAGAAAACAACTGTCCATAGGGGCTCTTGATAAACAAGCACATAAGTATTCATGCTCCTTGCACTTTTTCATCCTTTATCAACTAAAGTATTCAGTATTTTACTGGGATTTGATGTGATAAACCAGGACAAAGAAAAGTGCAGCGATGGAGCTGAAAGAAAAGAAAAACAATTTTCTTAAAAACAAACATTAAAACAAATATGCTGTGCATTTGTATTTAGCCCAATCTACTCGCAGACCCCCAAATATAGTCATCTTCAGAACTCACCAAATGACCATATAAACCATTTAATCCGGATGTTAATCCAGCTGCATCTTGAGGACCTGAGATATCCATTAAAGAACCTTGGTGAACAAATAACATAATGAAGACTAAGGGACAGCTTCATGAATAATTGTCCAACTTAAATGATAAACCTGAGAAGCAGCCTGGAAGGGAGGAGAGAAGTTAATTGCTGAGCCAAAAAAAAATCAAAGATGGAGCTCCTGACAGGGTGTTTCTCTCAAAGATAAGACTAAACAAAAGTCATTTTTAAACATGTTAAAATCTAAGTTTTTTTTTGTGAAAACCTTTTTCACAAAAAAACTAAACAAAAACATAATTGGTCATACTGTAGCGACACTGTTTTGTACAAACAGAGACAGAGGTGCTGTTTAAAACAGATGGGAAAAGGCAAGAAGCTATAAACTTTGCTCTAGCAAGTTTTCTGTGAGGACACACCTAAAAGAAAACTTTCTAGAGGCTGCAAAGAACTTGGGAGAAAGTTCACTGTCCATCAGGAGAATAAACATAAACCCAGAGTTCCAGTGGGATCATAATTTGTTAAAAAGGGTCTAGTGACAGCACAAACCAAAATCTAATAAGACTGATATTGCTCTTTACCAATGATCTTTCTTTACCCTGAATGATCTTGTGCTCTTTTGCAAGGAACAATAGGAAAAGTATTGAGTCAGTTGGTGCATGAGGGCCAAAGATAGCAGCTTGAAGCTTAAAGGCAAGCAAAAGGAAATTTAATATTAAATTAAGCAGCTGAAATCTAATTATCGCAAAATGTCTTGTGTTTTTCTTTTGTGTGATTCAGCATGGATCTAAGTCAGGAGAGACAAGGATGTAGTGCAGCTAAACTCAAGACGACGAGTGAAGACCTTTCAGCTTCCTTAAGTTGTGTAAATACTTTAAGGATGCCAGGGCTTGTAGGGTATTGTCAAGATTATTTCTGGATACTTATTTTGCTACCTTCCATGTTTGCAGGCTGCTGCTCTTTTTCGCCAACATAAAACACCAAATGTTGCGCTCTGTTTTAAAACCCCTGGGAACTGTCATCTGATTGTCTCAGAATCAGGAAGTAAACACGGGATGCAGACTACACCAAAGTAGTGCTGCACTGTACTGCTATGTTTGAAAGGACTGTCACTTGGCTGTGTTGTTGATGGAAAGGGCTGATTATTTATAGGGGATGCTACTTTCATCCCAGGCGAAAAATAAGAATGATTTTGATTCATTTTACAGCAAATATCTAACTTATTGCTCCTTAATTTTTCAGAGCTGGTGTGGGCATGACTTTATCTTATGGCAAGAAGCTGAAAATAACCCTGCCTAAGGACAAACATATGTCTGAAAATCAGTGCCAAATACTACATTCAAAGATTTCTTAAAGAATTTATCTTTTTTAATTATTATTATTGAAATTATTTTAACCAGATGAACCACTGCAAATTTAAGTTACCTTATCAAGACAATGTTTAGGAGAAGCCACCAGTAGTGTAGCACTGTTTAAACAAAGACTGAAAGCTAATAGAGGTTTCGGTGACCAGGCCGGTCAGATCTAACCTGGGTCAGGATTAGGGCTACAACTAATGATTATTTTGCTAATCTGTCCAATATTTTTAGATAAATCAATTAATAATCGGATAGTCAAAGGTATCTTAAATATCTTCTTTTTTACAGATTAAAGCAAGTTAAACTAAAACTTTTCCTGGATAGAGAACACTGACAGAATAAAAAGTGTTTTTAAACTTAAAGGCACAATATTTATATATTTTTTCCAATGTTGGTATAGTTTCTGCTTAAGGTGGATAGCTCTGTCAGCTAAAGCAATGTTTTCAAATCTTTATACTGTACTCCAGTTAACGATTAATCGATTACTAAATGAGATGACAATTATTTCAGTAATAAGTTAATCACGACTAATCCGATTAATTGTTTCAACCCTAGTCAGGATAAAACAGGACCTGCAAGTATTAAGTTCTAAGATGTTTGATTAGCCAACCAAAACCATGATACAAGGTAGAATATAAAACATTACAATGGAAAATGTATCTTAAAGGAAAAGAGTTATGAAGCAAATATGGAGATGGCATGATAATAAAGCAGAAAGCAAAATAAGCATAGTAAAAACATAAAGCTTAATGCTCAAAGCTAAAAAACATCACCTATCAGGGTCAAAACGAGTGCTGAATGAAGATCGAGCTCCTTAGGGTACATCTGTGGACAGTGGTGGCCTGTAAGATGCATGTGCTCACATGGTGAAACATCATATGAAATATTCACTACTTCTGCCCCTCAACATGGGCTTTATTTTTGCTGAGGACAAGTCACTACAGACTGTAGGCCTTTCTCCGTCAAAGCTGATACACAGCAGAACACTGGAGGGCTGGGGGCGATGGGGACTGGGTGGGAGACAGAGAAATGCACCACAGGTTATAGATGAGGACACATACAGTATGGAGGTTGATGTTTTTTATGCTGACGAGTGCTGCTTGTGGGCGAGTTGAGTTTCCCTGGACATGGTGCATCCATCGTATGCAGACTAACAAAGAAAAGGGGTTTGGCAGACTGCAGCTGAACAGAGCACATTGGCCTACAGTAAGGAAGACATCAGCCGACCAGGGCATGTGATCATCAGCCTGACCTATCCAAGATAAACCCCACATGTAGAAAACAGGCCTGGCAATAATGATATCAGCCAGGAAGCAGAAGAAAGAACAGCCTGTTTAAACACATTTAATCAGATTTCTAAAGGAAGCCTGCAGTATGTTTGGGAACAGAGTGTGCTTATAAAGTCCTATGGTGTATTTGTGCGAATAGAAATATCTCCAAAAGTTTAAATCATCTTTTGTAGAGGAGACAGCTGACTAGCAGTGGACACCTAGAGGTGCTGGAGATGCCTTAGTCTTTTATTCTGTGTCCATCAAAGTAAGAGAAAACAGACTGGAGTATATTTCAATCAGTTCTAATTATTTAAGGGATGTGTTTAATAATAAGAACTAAAGATCAATTTCAGCTACAGATTATTTTAGTGTGCAATTAGTCAGTAAGTTGCAAACTAAACTACCAAATAAAAAAATGGAAAATGAAGCAATTTATGTCAATGTAAACCATTGTTAAAGTCCACTGCTTTTCTTAGGAAATGTAATATTTAATGTATATTATGTTTATGCATACAAACGAAGGAAGGAAAAAATGAGAATACTAGTTTTATTACTTCTGCACTTTTCCAAATCTGGAAAATACTGAAAGCAAAACAATTCATAAGAATATGCAGGAATTACAAAAAGGTAAACCCTCTTACATTGAAACAAAATATAGATTTTATTATACATATTTTAGCCCAAAATGTTACCAAATCACTTGTTCCAGTATAAACATTAGATAGGTCAGTTGATATGATGTCAGAAAAATAGAATCTTCTAAGCTTTAAACATGCCTGTAAAATAATCCAGTTTCACAATAAACAATGAAAATATAAACTACATATATTTTAAATTTTGGGGGCAAGCTGTATAACATAATCAGCTAGTTTATCAGTTATGTGCACGTCTAAGAACAAAAAGTGACAAACGAATGTCGCTCTGGGCTATGGGAGCCCGAGGAAAGCACCCAAACAGAAAACTTGACTAATTTAAGATATGGATAAATCTACCCACCCTAAAGCTACATATCTAACACAACCTAAATTCTATCATTTGGTAATATAATGGAAACCCCAACCATAGTTTAAAACATATCTTACAGATAAGAATTGGAAAATTGAAAGAGAAAAACAAACAAATCAAATCCACAAACTTATTTTTTTTTGGTATATAAAGACACCTGAGTTGCACCCATCCAATATTATTATTGGTATTGGTGCTAGTTTAAAAGAAAAGTGTGGCTCAGGTATAGGTGAAAATGGGCCCAATCCAAAGGGGCAGATGTGTTCTGTCTATTTAAATACTACATGTTAGGTTAAAAAATCTCTTGAACAGCAGAAGCGTTTATTCCATTATGAGCATCCACCACTGATTTGATAAATCAGTTGGAAACTTGTTTTCAAGATGGGATTTGTCCTGTTAATCTGATATACTGTTTATATGAACTCCTTTTCTGACCTTATACTGATCACAAGTTGCCTTTCGGGATGTTTACATTCATACATATCATACTTGCTTGTAGAGAGAAAATCAACAGCAATGATGAGAACTTTAAAACTAATACTGCTCTGGTATCTGAAAAGTATCTGGATGGGCAGATATTCAAATTAAAGATTCCGATCAAAAGTAAGAAAAAAAAGGTGGATCACTACATCCTTGAAAAAAACACTTAAAAGCACTTTAATGCACTTTTATTTGGTTTTACATATAGACCAAAAAAAAGGGAGCATAGTTAGTTACTTTTAGTTGATACTCCTTGACAAAAAAGCAAAAATTAATCGGCAGGTCAGACCTTAAAGAACACTAGAAATTAGTATCCATAAGCCAAAGCCTGACTTGTCTCTCCAGTGGGGTACAGATAACCACACAGGAACTGAAATAGGCATCCCCTTGTTATTGATCTTAGGGTGTAAAGGAGAGCTTTGTTCAAGCAGACAGATAGCAAGAGGACAGGCAACTAATCGGTATTCTGATGCTTATTCAGAACCACAGACACCTCTCTTTTTGCTCATCCAAAGAGAAGGAAGGGGCAGGCCATGAGGTCAGTTCTCTTTGGCAGACCCAAGAAGCTCTGCATTGTGAAACTAAGGTTTGTGTAAAGGTGCAGCTGTGTGTGCGTGTTAGTGTCCCCTGCAGAGCTGCTGTGGAAGCTGTTGGGTGTCATCAGCACATCCTGCCCACTGCATGCATGTGTGATGTAAAGGGGCTTTTCTCCGCCTCCTCTTCCTCCTCCGCCTTCAACCGTGGCATGAATCACACTGACCTGTTTTATGAATCCTTGATGACCAATTTCAAATAAATACATTTTAAAAAACTACCCCAATATAAGCATTATGTCTAAATATACCAGATATTGCTGCTCAGACCTACTTTTTAGCATCCAGCAGTGGATGACATCATAGGGATTTTCAGCCTGCTCACCCCCACTACAACCATTGATGAATAAGCGCCTACATCCGTAGTAGGCTTCAAATGTAGTCCAGAAGCAGCATTTTCGGCATCATTTCAACTCAAATCCATTTTTTTAAAAGTGCTGAGCTATCATAAATGAATGTTGTTTGATTTATTCGCTAACCCTACTTTCTATCACTCCTACTATGCTTTTCGGACTGTTAGTAGAACCGACGGACATGTGTAATAATGAGCGTAATAGTATGTTACTATAAATTATTTGAAATTTAAAAGCGAAACATTGAGCGGAAAACCGGATTTAACCTTAAATTTGGCGTGTTACGGGGACTCCCACGCGTTTAATGTAATTTTTCTTTTTTTTAACCGACCGTTACATTTAGACTTACCCTAAAATGACCAGCTCTCCGTATTTCACCGGGTCTTTAACGGGCACATCATCTTCTCCGTCTTCTTTCGGTGAATTCATCAGAGTGGGCTTCTCCAATAAAAAAGATAAATACAAAAAAGAAAGAACCTCGACCGGGGGAAAATATATATATAATGGGAAGATAATATAACAATGCTAACACACTCTAAAACTATATTTGGCTTGTGGTCTTCATCAAAGTTTGGGTATAGTTGGGCAAAGTTTTCCCAGGCGTCCTGGTGTTTGTTTTATCGTTTTAATCTCGCGAAGAAGCATCTTTTCATGCGGTTAAGGCCAGTGTGAAGCTAGTTTGTATCGCGGTAAATCTGTTCAGTAGCATAGGGTACAACAACGGCTAACGGCAGGGTGTAAGACGTACCAACTTTTATAGGAGGGGTGTGATTCACAATTTGTATTAAATATTTCATTAAACATCGTTCTGTTTATTACGTGCACTTTTAATCTTTTTTTAAATCCCACTTAAATCATATTTTCTTAAATTAATCTAATAAGTAAGCGACTGTGTTTTGAAAAGTAAGAGAGCTAAAGAGCGAACTTCCCCTTCTCTTGTCAAAATGAGTTCTTCCATCAAGAGGAGCTGGCTCACACTGATGGAATAAAATGAGGGTTTGGGAATTCACCAGTAGATGAAGGCATGCTGACGGATCTAGGTGTTTTAAATGTGTTTATATATATAGTTTTTTTATTATTTAATATCGGGACATATTGTGGAAGTTCTGTCGAGGTTTATAATAAAGTCTGACGTAATGAGGTTCTTAGCGGATGGAGACAAGATGTGGGTCAGCATCATTGGGCCCCTTAATTATAGAGCCTTGATTCCTTGCATTTTATGAGTCACAATCATATATTATTATTGATTCTTTAGAGCTCTGTTCTCTTTTTCTTTCTTCCTCACGCACTCCATCACAAAGTGTAGTAAACTTTAAGCATATAACCACATGAGGGCAGTGTACAGGCACAATATACATTAAAGGGTACAATCCAGGGAACTTGCTGAGTCTTATTATTGGTGAGTCATTTTTGTGATTCTTTACTTAATTTCTTATTTACCTTTAATTTTCAACTCCAAAGTGCTTTAACTAGGCTACAAATTAATGAGACAGATGTGATTTATATGTATCAAAAGTTTTGTTATTGCAACTGTCATTGATCAAACTTTTTATCTTCCATTTTCTGCTGTTACTAAATGATTCTTAAAATATGAATTCACAATATGTAAGTTAGGATTTTTGTCATTTTTTTTAAGAAGCTCTAAGTAAGGTTTACATTTTATCTAATTATTCAAACAAATGATTTAAGCTTACTAGGTATCCTTGGTCAAACCCACAAACCAGCTTGTTGTGGTATCTCACTCTAATTATAAGTTTAAAAGCCTTTGGTTTTAGTAATTTAGGATATACTTGTGAAAACTGATCATGTTTGAAATTTGATTTTAATATTTATGTTCTTTTAGTAAGGTGGAATTTTCTATCATACATTTTTCTTCTGAAATTATCAGTTTTTTTCATTTAGGTTTAAGTTTTGAAAATCTTTTGATGCCTTAATCACAGATAATTGCTGCAGTTGATTTATATATAGGCTATCTTGGCTTTACCTTTGTTTATTAACTTCATTGACTTATCTGTGTAATTTTTGAGTAATAGAAACAGTTATTGCTGACTAAGCTTTAGAGGAAAACAGACAAAATCTGAAAGGTAATGGCAAGAAAAAAAATCAAGAGAAACTGCAACAGATGTGCTGCATACTAGAGGCAGTTGAAGGTGAATGGGGGAAAGTCTGTTTGTTCCCTTGTTAGATCTTCAACAAAGACCAGCACAGTAGATTGCAAAACTAACAGTTGTCATGTCAACAGATTATCTGCAGTGAGCTTTGATTCTCTGCATCTCCTCTGCATCTCTCTGCTCACATCTACCATGGCCATCTTTGCTGCGTCTCTGATTAATCCTCTATATACCAGTCCTCTATATACCTGTCAGTTCAGTCATGCCTTGGTAGGTCTCCGGTTACAAATTATTATTTCAGCTGATGGATTGAACAGTGCCTTGTGAGGTATTCAAAGCCTTGGATCTTGCTTTATAACCTAACCCTGCTTTAAGCCAGTACAGCTGTGTTGTGTGCACCTCTATCTGATAATTATGTTTGTCACAGATGTTTTCTGACATATTTATTGTTTTATAATGTTGCAAAAATGGAGAAAATAACCCAATGGTTTTGAATGCTAACGCAAAAGACTATATTTATAAGATCTTAGGGTACTTTTTGTGTTCAACTTCAACAAGAGTCTTTTTGAACAGAAGCTAAAGTTTCAGTAATAGAATCTCTCCGCTCTACGTAGCACCTCAGTTGCTTTTTCTGAAACAGTAGTCTTAAATGTGTTCTGGTGCAACACGTAAGGGCTTGTATGCCCACTACAGTACACTGCATGACTCTGCAGCTTGTGGTAATATGGCCCCAGCAAAAAACACTTGTCTATGAAAATTTATAGGCGTTAATGTGAGAGGTGAAATATAGCATGTTCTGGCTCACGGGTTTAACTACAGGGTTGCTACCACATAAAAAGGAGAAAAGAATATTTAGATAAACAAAACAAGTGTCCACACCCTTATTTTATGAATGACAACCTCATGTAGAGACTGTGACTGAGTTTAAAGATGACTCACTTCTTTTTGGATAAAAAGAAGTAGATTACACAAGTTTCATTGTATTTTTTGCTAGTCTAACCTTCAGCATAGTTTTCCTATGAGATACAAAGTAGAAACTGGATAGACCAGATGTGTATGTGTGTGTGCTTGAGAAAGTGTGCCTCTCTTTCTTTCCCACTGTAGGTTTAGGGTCACACCCTCAGTTACTTTGCCTTTAAGTTTCTGTCTGTTTTTCTCTAGCTTTCATTGTGGGTCTTAGTTTTGGCAAAAAAAGAAGGAACACATCTTCTAAAATTCTTAATCAAAGTCTTTAGCTATATTTTTATTTAACCAAATGCAATTTAAACAGCTGGAGTTGTTTATCAAACTTGTCTGTTGCAGGAATTCAAAGCATTCGCCGGATGACTATATAGAGATGATACTGAATCATGAACTAGAGGGACCATATTCATGAGTATACAGTAACCCCTGGAGGAAAGCTTTCCTTTTGCGATGGCCGTAAAAACTTCCTGTTTCTGCTGAAGAGCATATTTTTAAAAACAAACAGTAAAACAGTAGGAAGGACTTGCTTATGGGGTGGCATTAGGTGCTGTGGAACTGATGCTTGCTGTTTTAGATAATATGTTTGGAAACCATTTTTCTCCACAAAATGACTTTAAACACCATGAATAGGAAGGCTTTAAAGATCATGCAGTTTTTCTGTTGCCTGCTTCTTTGTGCTGCCAATCAGAACAAATTATTTAATTTAAAAAATGATGTTAAAAGTAGGTAAGTGAAAGTCAAAACAAGCCTAAATGTCACCAATCGGAACAAAACATTCAGATTAGGCATGCTTCCTTAAACTAAAGATTAACATTACCTGCTCTTCTACGAAACAACCCAGTTATTATCTATAGAAATGTTTAGTTTGCAAATAAAAGTTAAGCTCCTATATAAAACATAATGGTGGGCCAATGATCTTAGAGTGTTGTTTCAGAGAATGAAACAAACAAAACTCAAATTTCTGCAGGACAATGTCATTTGGTACCTTTTTTTTCCTGGGGCTGGAGTTCAAACAGTTGATGAACAAAGTGGAAGTAGAAAACAGTGTATTTTCTGCAGGTCATTTGGGTGTGTATTTGTCACAAAAGCACAGCTTGATAATGTTCTTAATGTACCTTGCTACACCTTTCACTGCCTTCCCTTATCTGCTGCACAGCTGATATGGCTTAAAAACATGAGGGTACTCCCATTGGTGCAGCAGCAGGAGGACATAAACAGCTCTTGGGAGAGTGTTTTCTTTTTTTGCTTCAGGAAATTTAGAGTTTGTAAAGTTTTTGTTTTTTTATTAGGCAGCATTGAATGTTTTCTAGAATATGCATATCCAAAACAAAAATTTGGTATTTCCCCTCCTCTTTTTTTTTTTTGCACTTAATCAGCTGCAGATGAACACTTCATTCCCCCTGAAATCAATTATTAGCTTTTCACTATAAGGAGCCAAAATGTTTTTACAGTCAGGCCTGTTAGCCTCTTAACCTTCCCTTTTCTGGCAGACTCAGTTCCTTTCGTCAACCAGTCCAACCTTTATTTAAGCCTTTTGACAATTCTGTAATGGTGGCTATAGTATGAGAACGAACACAGCTGAATATGTGAAGAGGGTAGACAAGAAAGTTTATTAGCCAGGATCTTGATTGAATAGAGGAGACTAAAAGTGATACCTCATTTTAAACTACATCAGATCTTTCAGAACCTCTTTCAGTTCATGAATTAAGAAATAGTAATTTGGTATAATGATATCATATTGTTAATGTCAGTGAGTTGCAGTAATTGCTTTAGTGGAAGCTAAAAAAAAAAAAAAACATCAACAAAAAAAACCCAGTTTGTTCACTGAGTCTTTAAATAGATAACACCAGCTAGTTCTAATTGTGTTCAGCATTGGACTGCACAATGTAAGGTAAACANTCAACAAAAAAAACCCAGTTTGTTCACTGAGTCTTTAAATAGATAACACCAGCTAGTTCTAATTGTGTTCAGCATTGGACTGCACAATGTAAGGTAAACATGTCAAAGTATTTTCATTCTTTACAACTAAGACAATGTCTCCTGCACTGTCTGGGAGCTTTACCATCTCAGCGGCTGAAAATATACATCAGGTGATTAATAGCAGTTAGACTCTTTCAAAACCAACATGCATATGCAGAGTATAAATCCTTAAGGAAACTTTATCTTTCCAAAAAATTGCATTCACTTTGCATTCCTTGTAAATGTAATATTGCAGACATATGCAAGAGAAATGAGAAATTCAATTTGCAATATTCAATTTGCAATATTTTTTCAAAGTTAGTATTTTTAGCAATTTAATATCCATCTATTAATTTTTCACCACGCTTATCCCAAGCAGGGTCGCGAGGGGTGCTGGTGCCTATCTCCAGCTGTCTACGGGCGAGGGGCGGGGTACACTCTGGTCAGGTCGCCAGTCCATCGCAGGGCACAATTGAATATTTAATTTAATAATAACTGAATAATTGAATAACTTATTTTCATTTTGGAGGTAAATAGAAACATTGTACGTTTTCTGCAGTGCTAGGTACAAAGAATGAGTGTTCTTCAACCAATTCCAAATCTTTAAATAAAAGTACTGTCAGGTCATTTTACCTTGTCTATGTTTTATTCTAACCCTGCCAAGGCATTAGATTAAAT